TAAGAGAGTGATGGTGTAAAGGTCAAGTTGAGATAGGGTTGAATGATGCTATAGTAGTGATTAAAATAGAATGGAGGTTATTCCCAATGTAAAATACAGAAAAAAAATAAAATAAAATGGTACTGGAGAGGAAACAAACAGACAAACAAACAAACAAACAAGAAAAAACAAAGAACAAAAAAAAAAAAAAAAAAAAGGAAAGAAACAAAAATTGCAAAATAGCAGTAGTAATAGTGATGATAGAGATTGAAAAATGTAATAATTGAAAAGGTAAAATGAAGTAAGGAAAAAAATAGAAAAAATTTTTCTTAAGTAAATGCTATAAAAAGTGAAAATTAAATAAAAGATGTAAAAAATGAAAATAAAATAAAGAATAGTAAAATTAGCATAAAAATGTCCAGTAGTGGTCATTCACTTCCTCTGTTAATGTATTTGGCCCTCCTGATTCTCGGACCAGACAGTCTTGCAGTCCCCAGCATTCCACTGGACCTCAGTTTTGTAAGGTAAACCTTAATTTTAAGCAGGTTATATCTTAGTTATTTGTGTCCGTTTATTTTTGATTAGTTAAAAGAAAAAAGAAAGAGAAAAAAAAAAAAGAAAAAAGAAGAAAAAAAAAAAAAAAAGGCAGTTTGTAATTTGGCTCTTAGGTGTCAGTGTTTCCGGTTTGACCTCCCAGTCTTTTTGGTTGCTCTGGCCTTCTTTCTCTATGGCTCTAGCTGGCTCCAGGACTATGTCTTCTGGCTCCAATCCCTTGTTTCCAGAAGGCAAATTCCCCCTACAATTTCCCCGGCTATGCCCAACTGGGCAGTTCTTCTCTAGTATTCAGAAGCAAGTGGATGAATGGGAACCGGTGCCAAGGTGTCCAGATGTTCCGCCCTTGGCGGGACAGCCGCGATTCTTAACACTCTGTCCCGTGTCCCCTGGCGTTTTAAAAAAGTCCCGCTTCTGGGGGGGATTACTTCAAACCCAGCACTAGGTGTCGCTGCAGCCTTCTCTAGGCTCCGCTCCGCCTCCGCGGGCGGTAGTTCGCGCACCCGTCTACCGTGGAGGCGGGGCCGGAGCTCCCCGGCTACCGTAGCATAGGCGGGGCCGGAGCTCCCCGGCTGCTGTAGTGGAGGCGGGGCCGGAGCTCGCCGCCACGGAACCCAGATCCCTTAGGCTATCCCCGCAAACTCTGACCTTTCCGTGGGTGACTGAAGATCTCCCCGGAATCCACGTGTCTGCGCAGCTCTGGGAGTCTCAGCTGCTCGATGGACCTCCGGGCTGTGCGTTTTCCACGCCTCCGAGAAGCTCTTTCCTTCCTGGCAAGACAATGCAGCCCTTCCTCCACGCCCGCAGCCCACCTCTCACTGCCTCCGCCGCTGCTGCCGCTGCCGCTGCTACCGCCGCTGCCACTGCTGCCGCGGCCGTCCTGGCCGCTTGGTCAGGAAATCCTGTCCAGCGGACCCTCCCTTACCCTCCTTGAGAGCTCCGCTGTCCCTTAGCTGCCAAATAACACTCCCTGAGCGTCTCAGAAGCCCCCTTTATCCGTTCTGGGACCAGAGTCAGAACAGGTCCGACTGTTCGGTCGCCATCTTCAAGCTCCGCCAAGAGTGACCTTGTGTCTACTTTTTTAATTGGTGTAAAGGGAGAAACTTATTTTTGAATAAGTAGGATTTTTAAAAGTAATGTATGAATGTAGACTTAAGCAAGATTCTAAGCAAGATTCCTGAAGTCCAATATTATTTATATAAAAATGGAAAACAATACCGTACCTTCGTAAGGGATATATACAGATGCTGTAATATTGTGACAATATATAGGGGAGTCATAAACACCATATTCAGGGTAGTTGTTACCTTTGGAGGCAAGGTAGGCAGATGGAATGAGAGGGAAGATACCAGGGGGTCTTATATTGTTTACTTTCTGTGCTTAGGGGTGGGAGGGTGGGTGTTTGTTACATTGTTCCCTGTACCTACTTGTCTTTTGGAAATACAGTTTTAAAAAATTAGGGGAAGCCCAGCTGTTTGGCTCCCAATAACCAGGAGGTCACGGTTCGATTCCTGATCAAGGCTCATGCAGGAGGCAGCCAATCAATGATTCTTTTTCATTGATATTCCTCTTTCTCTCCCCCCACCCTTCCTCTCTGCAATCAATTATACACACACACACACACACACACACACACATATATATATATATATATATATTAAATGAAGGTAAGTTCTTGTTGGAGCATCAACCTGTACACCAAACAGTCTGGGTTTGATAGCTGCTGACTACATTACAGGTGCAATACCCAGTCAGAGTGGGTGTGGAGGCAGCCGTTGATGTCTGTCTGTCTCAAAAAAATTAAAATTTTCATTAATTAAAAAAACATATCCTTGGGTGAGGATTAAAATTTTTTTTTCATTCTCGCCAGCTTGGCTCAGTGGTTAAATCATCAACCTGGGGACTAAATGGTCTGGGGTTTAGTTCCCAGTCAAGAGCACACACCTTGGTTGCAGATTCCCCAGCCCCGGAAGAGATGTGTACAGAAGGCAACCAAGTGATGTGTTTCTCTCACATAGATGTTCTCTTTCTCCCTTCCTTCCACTATTTCTGGAAATCAATGGAAAAATATCCTGGGGTGAGGATTTAAAAAAAAATTACAAAAAAATAAAAAATGAAGCCTGGGCAGAAACCGGTTTGGCTCAATGGATAGAGCGTCGGCTTGGGGACTGAAGGGTCCCAGGTTCAATTCCAGTCAAGGGCATGTACCTTGGTTGTGGGCATATCCCCAGTAGGGGGTGTGCAAGAGGCAGCTGATCGATGACTCTCTCCCATCGATGTTTCTAACTATCTCTTTCCCTCCCTCTCTGTACAAAATCAATAAAATATATTTTAAAAAAATAAAAAATGAAGCCTGGGGTGAAGTGAGGGTGGGGTGGAAGGGTCAAAAAGGGAGAAAATGAGAGTATCTGTAATACTTTCAACAACAAAATAAAAATTAAAAATGAGGGGAAGGGATTGCATATAGGAATATAGCTATTATATAAAACTTGCATAAAAGGTTTTGTTTTTGTTTAAGTTTAAACGGTACAGTTCCCCCATCCTTAACTCCCTGGTCCCTGGTTTCCCTCCCAGGAGCAAACATTTTATTCCAAATATTGCAGAGACTTCCCGGGGCCCCTTGCTGTCTAATCCAGACTGTTCCCTTGACTCCTCTCGTTTGTGTGCCATGTTCTCTGGGAGGTAGAGAGGGAGGACATCTGAATCCTGGAACCCATTGCCCAAGTTTGAATCCCCTGCTCTGCCGCTTACTAGCAATGACCTTGGGTAAATTAACTCTCTGCTGATTCACTTTCATCATATGTCAGATTCATTGAGTAGTCCCTTTCTCGAGCTGTACGGAGAATTAAATCAGTGAAATATTGCCTGACACATAGGAAGCTCTATATAATGTTAACTATCTTTATTATATTATCAATCACTGAGCTGTCTGCTCCTCAAGCTATTGCCAATGTCCAGGCAGCTAATCCCACACTCCACTCACTCATTTGCTTATCCCTTGGATTCTCTGGCTAGGAAGAAAACTTCAGTCCCTTTTTAGGTCTGCTTTTTCAGAGGAGGTTCTCCCAGCCCCCCTGATGCCCTCTGTACCACAGCTGCCTTCTCCCTAAAGCACAAGGGCTCTCTGAACAGTTGGGGTGGAGAAGGTGGTGAAGCACAGACTCCCACCTCTGGAACCATAGTCTTCTTGAATGCCCTCGTACTCACACTAGACTGCTCTGCCAGAATTCTTTTGCAAGTTCTTCTTCATGCATGATTTTCCCCCTGAGACTAGTGCACCCATCCTGCATTTTACTTCCGTCAGAACTCTCCGTATTTAATGGTATATGTGTCTGAATCCAGTTAAGATCAGGGTTTAGGTTCTTTCCCATGGGACTTCCATGCCTCCTGTAAATCAGGGGATGTGGCTTGACATCTATTTTAAGGGCTCCTGACCTTACTGTGACCGATGAGTTTCCCAAACATTGTATGGTAATTAGGACACCAGAGTCCCCTAAGCACACTGAGGACCCCTAACGAGCAGTGACATCTCTAGCTCAGCCAGGACACACTGTTAAGTTAATATTTGTAGCTAACATTTGAAGAGCATTTCAATTACATGGTGCTTTTCACCTAACTTCTCATTTAGCTCTGAGGCAAGGATCAATATCCCATTCTCATTTTTCCAGTGAAGAAAACTGAGGACTAAAAACATTGTGGTTGCATAGATAAAAGAGGACAGGCCTTCCTTCTGCTCCTGTGTCAACTCATACCTTCTTACCAGATGAAGAAAAGCCATAAATATTTATGGTGTCAGCAGAGTTGATACCAGTTGTCATATTAGGAAGATTTAGTGTATTAACTAAGTTTGGGGTGAAGTTAATAGAAAATTGTTGACCAATATGCTGCACAGCTGAAACGAGAGAGAGAGAGAGAGAGAGAGAGAGAGAGAGAGAGAGAGAGAGAGATATCAGTTTGTTGCTGCACTTATTTGTGATTCATTGGTTGATTCTTATATGCCCTGACTGGGAAATCCAACTGGCAACCTTGGTGTGTCAGGATAGCGCTCTAACAACTGAGCACTCAGCCAAGGCAATACAAAATAATATGAAATGTAAACTAATTTAAAATAAAATAAAATAAAATAAGAAAATTGTTGCCTTGGCTTGGTGGCTAAGTTGGTTGGAGCATTGTCCAATACACCAAAAGGTTGCTGGTTCAATCCCAGGTCAGAGCACATATCTAGGTTATGGTTCCATCCCTGGTTTGGGTGCATATAAGAGGCAACTGATCAATGTTTCTCTCTCACATTGATATTTGTCTCTCCCTCCTTTCCTCTCTTTCTAAAATCAATATCCTCAATGAGGATAAAATAAAGAAAATATTCAATAATTTTATTTAAATGTAGATCTTCTTGTACTCAGGCTTATGTGAACTGTAGCCAGTTTTGTAAATAAAATCTTTATATTCTTCTTTTCCTCAGAGCCACAATGGACACAGCTAGCCATAGCCTTGTCCTTCTGCAGCAGCTGAACATGCAACGAGAATTTGGTTTTCTGTGTGATTGCACAGTTGCTATTGGAGATGTTTACTTCAAAGCCCACAGAGCAGTGCTTGCTGCTTTTTCTAACTATTTCAAGATGATATTTATTCACCAAACAAGGTAAGGATGTGCTTTTGTAAATCTAAAGAGTTTTAATACTGTGATATGTCTAACCTTATTATAACATCATTTGGGGGATTCTTGTTATGAGGTCACATAAAAAATGTTATATATATATTATATATCAGTAATTAAATGCAGTGTGAGGGATTCATATTGGAAGATAAGAATAAAAACAATAATAGCTCAAATTTACTGAAGGATTATTTTATACAAGCACTGAGTATTTACCTAATGTAAATTATACTATTGTCCATACTATTTTAGAGATAGGAAATCAAGGCTCAGTTATTAAGTAACTTTCCCATCCAGGATTATACAGCTACTAAGGCTAATAAGTTAGACTCAAATGTGGATCTGTGCTGTTAAAGGTCTGTGCTCTTAAATACTAAGTTGTTGATTTTTATTCCAGTACACTTTATATCAAGATTTCGATGTCATAATTCTGTTCACCTTATACTCCATATTACAGTTTAAAAGTCATTTGTTTCAAATATTTTTTCTAAAAGCTTTTTTGAATATAGGTTACCCCAATAGAATAGGTATGTAGGCAGAGGGCTGAGAAGTGGTGGTCATATTCTGAGCTCTTGGTAAAGAATAGCTTTATTCTATCCTACGTTGAAAGTGATAGAACAGTCTATGATTTTTTTTTTAAAGACCTTACATGAAATACCTAGGATTGCAGCCTCAATTATACATTTTTAATTTTATTTATTTGCTTTTTGAAAATTGATTTTCTCATTTTTTTAAAATCCTCACCCAAGATATATGTTGTTTTTTAATTGATTTTGAGTGAGTGAGTGAGAGAGAGAGAGAGAGAGAGGCATCAATGTAAGAGAGAAACATCAAACAGTTGCTTCCCATTCATGCCCCATCTGGAATCAAACCCACAACCTCTTGGTGTATGGGATGATGCTCCAAGCAACAGAGCTACCTGGCCAGAGCTCAGTTATACATTTATTTAAATTGTTCATTCATTCAACTATTGATTGAGCACTTACATGTTAGGTACTGTAACAGTCCCCAGCAATAAGTAAGTTATACTCTGCCCTGGAGAAATTTGTAGTCTAATAAAAGATAATGCATGTAAAGAAAATAATTGCTGTATAATTGTTCTCTCTGTGCCTCAGTTTCCTTCTCTATAAAACACTAGAATAATGCACCCACCCATGGTGTTGATAAAAAATAAATGGATTAATAAAATTAAAATACTTAGAACAGGAGCTTTGCACTGTAAGTTACTGTTGTTAACAATTAATGTAGTAACTCTATAAAAGAAATGTTGCACAAGGTAGAGTGGAGTGTCAGCAGCCCTATTTTGAGAAGATTGGAATAAGTTTTACAGTGGTCCTAGATTTTAAAGGATCAGAAGTTGTTTCACAGATGTTGTAGAAGAAAGAAGGAAAGTTTATTGAAGGTAGAGGAAAACATGCATGAAAACATGCAGATATGAACCAAACTAGATCAGAATGATTGGAATGTATGGCACAAAATACCGAGGATGTTAGAGTCGGAGACAAGTAATGGGTAGCCTTTTCTGCCATGCCAAAGAGTTTCCTCTCTGTAAACTAGATTAGAAACACTGCCTTCAGTCTAATTTGAGAGCTGTGGGTTGGCTCACCTCTCATACCTGTTGTGTACCAGGTGCCTTGCTAGAGTAAATCCAGGAGATACAAAGGTGGCAGCCTGCTATGTGTTATCTCTTGAGCAATTGAAAAATCCTCAGATAACAGAGCTCTGTGCTGATACAAAAAACAAACAAACAAACACAAAAACACCTGCCACAGATTGTGGATATGGGTGGGTCAAAGCTAAGAGTGAAGCTTAAGAGGGAATCCCAAGATCTCAGGACTAAAGATATGGATTGTCAGCATACTGACACCAGTGCTTTCTTTCTTTTTTTTTTTTTTTTAAGTGTAGTTTGTTGTTGTTGTTGTTGTTTTTAATATATTTTATTGAGTTTTTACAGAGAGGAAGAGAGAGGGATAGAAAGCTAGAAACATCGATGAGAGAGAAACATCGATCAGCTGCCTCTTGCACAACTCGACTTGGGATATGCCCGCAACCAAGGTACATGCCCCTGATCGGAATCGAACCTGGGACCTTTCAGTCCGCAAGCCAACGCTCTATCCATTGAGCCATACCGGTTTCGGCACCAGTGCTTTCTGATGCACTCTTACAAACTTTTGCTTCAGGGAAGGGGAGTCCATGGACCGATTCCATTGTTCCTCGACATCCAACACTTCCCTCAGGTTGTCTTTATCCTAATTTTTCAGGGTGTTCCCTGATTTCTTGTTACACAGTTATTTCCATTTGTTATCTGAATTCTAGACTCATTTGTAAAAAATGACTTTTGAACTGTAATATGGAGTTTTTAAAGCTTTCCAAAGTTATCCTTGTATTCACTTGTGATTTAAAGAGTATATATATTAATATAGTTTGGAAGACAAAATAAAGTTAGCATAACTTAATTTCTAAGCATTACCAATTTCAATACACCCTTTAAATTTTCTAAAATTTTTTTATTGTGATAAAATATATGTAACATAGCCGAAACCGGTTTGGCTCAGTGACTAGAGCGTCAGTCTATGGACTGAAAGGTCCCAGGTTCGATTCCAGTCAAGGGCATGTACCTTGGTTGCGGGCATATCCCCAGTAGGGGGTGTGCAGGAGGCAGCTAATCGATGTTTCTAACTCTCTATCTCCCTCCCTTCCTCTCTGTAAAAAATAAATATAATATATTTAAAAAAATAAAATATATGTACCATAAAATTTGTCATTCAGCCATTTTTAATTGTATAATTCAGTGGCATTAATTACATTCACAATGTTGTGCAACCATCACCACTGTTTATTTCTAAGACCTTTCATCTCCCCAGAAACTATACCTTTTAAGTAACAATTTCTCACCACCACTTCCACAGGCTCCTGGTAACGGCTAAGCTACCATCTTTCTCTATGAATTTGCCTATTCTGGATATTTCTTACAAATGGCATCATACAAAACTTGTCCCCTGGTATCTGGCTTATTTCACTTATCATATTTTCAAGGTGCATCCATGTTGTAGCATGTATTAGAACTTCATTCCATTTTATGACTGAATAATATTCTATTGTATCTATGTGACACGTTGTGTTAATCCATTCATCTGTTGATGGACCCGTGGTTTGTTTCTATCTTTTGGGTAATATGAATAATGCTGTACTGAACATGGGTGTATGGGTATTTATTTGAGTCCCTTTTTTGGTTATATACTCAATAGGTTTTTTTTAAGTTCTTTAAAAGCAGGATACCTATTTTATTTGTAATTTTTCTGCTCTCTGGCAGCTAGTATCACTTAGGAGTCACTACATAAACATTGAACTATTCAGGATATCTGTCTATTTCCTAACTTTCAGCAGTAGATTGGAGACATGGAAACTGGTTGCTCGGCCATTAAACTGGTACCCAATGAAATTTTAAACTTTTGTTGCTGTGTTTCATCCAGGCAGATTGCTAAATTTGAGCTTCTTAGGAAAAAATTGCTTTATCCTAAGACTGTATACTGTTAACTAAAAGACTAACTAGGTTGTTTCGTTTTGTGTGGGTCTGTTTTTTATTTTTAACAGTGAATGCATAAAAATACAACCAACTGATATCCAGCCTGACATATTCAGCTATTTGTTGCACATTATGTACACGGGGAAAGGACCAAAACAGATTGTGGATCATAGTCGTTTGGAGGAAGGGATTCGCTTTCTTCATGCCGACTACCTTTCTCACATTGCGACTGAAATGAATCAAGTGTTCTCACCAGAGACTGTGCAGTCCTCAAATCTGTATGGCATCCAAATCTCAACAACCCAAAAGACAGCTGCCAAGCAAGGGCTGGAGGTCAAAGAAACTCTTTCCAATAACGGTGGAAACAGAGCCGCTGTCCAGAGTGACCACCCCCAGTTGCAGCTTTCTCTTGCTATTGGGCTGGATGATGGCACTGACCAGCAGAAGGTCCATCCTGCAGCCCAGGCCTTGGAGGAACACCAGAAGCCTCCAGTGTCCATCAAGCAGGAGAGAGATGACCCAGAATCCGTGATCTCCCAGAGCCACTCCTCATCCTCATCCGAGATGACAGGCCCCACTTTCACCGAAAGTGGTATCAAAATTCACTTATGCCATTACTGTGGAGAACGTTTTGATTCTCGTGGTAACCTAAGACAACATCTCCATACCCATGTATCTGGATCCCTCCCATTTGGTGTCCCTGCTTCTATTCTGGAAAGTAATGACCTTGGTGAAGTGCACCCACTTAATGAAAATAACGAAGCTCTTGAATGCCGCAGGCTCAGCTCCTTCATTGTTAAGGAAAATGAGCAACAGCCTGACCACTCAAACCGGGGTACCACAGAGCCTTTGCAGATCAGTCAAGTGTCTTTGATCTCCAAAGACACAGAGCCAGTAGAATTAAACTGCAATTTTTCTTTTTCAAGGAAAAGAAAAATAAGTTGTACCATCTGTGGTCATAAGTTTCTTCGAAAGAATCAGTTGCTGGAACACATGTATACACACAGAGGTAGATCTTACAGATATAGCCGATGTCAAAGGTTTGGTAACGCATTAACCCAGAGATTCCAGCCGTATTGTGAAAGCTGGTCTGATGTCCCCCTGAAAAGTTCTCGCTTGTCGCAAGAACAGTTAGACTCATCTCGTGCCTTGGAGTCAGAGCTCACACAGGAAAACGTGGACACTATTCTAGTTGAGTAGCAGTTTCTTCAGAAATAACAATTCTACAGAATTCACACGCATTTTTTTATCCATAAATTATTTTCCTCAAGTTCTGTTAACTTTCTTCTGTACTATTTATCCATAGTTTTAACATTGTTGTAAGATATTAATTCATGGTTTTAAAATAACCTTCAACGAAGACTGTGAACTTCTCATAAATTAATTCACAATTTAGAAATAAAAAAAGTCAATGTAGTAATATGGAACTTTAGAATAAAGAGTTATTTGTAGAATTTCTAAGTTTTTCCAGGTTGTAGATTCAGTAAAACCAAATTAATATGAAGTAAATGAAATATTTTTTAAAGAATACTCTAGACTGGTACTTTTGGCTAATGTTTCACATGAATAAGCCCTTAGAGAATTATTTTAAAATATTTTCTGCCATATAGGAAATTGGTAGTTATTTTAATGCATAACTATGTTACAGTGTATAAAATACGTTTTAAGCATAGCTATACCAAATCATTAGTAGTTGTTAAATTGTGTTTTACTTACTGGCTCTGCAACATTTTACATGGCTTTTATTTACCTTTTAACATTGTGAGCATACCCCATTTTTAATAGAAAATATTTTAGTTAAAAAGAGAAAAGGAGAAAGGTCAGACATAAAAAATACTAAAGAATAATAGTAAGGTACATACACAGAGATGAAGATATGAGATAGAGATTCAAATAGATCTGCATTGACTAACACCACAGTGTTATTTTCCTAATCCAATGTTTTTTTTTTATTTTTAAAAATATGTTTTTTATTGATTTCATAGAAGAAGGGGGAAGAGAGAGATAGAAATATCAATGATGAGAAAGAATCATTGATAGGCTACCTCCTTCATGCCCTCTACTGGGGATTGAGCGCACGACCCGGGCATGCCCTGACCAGGTATCAACGATGACCTTTTTAAATATATATATATATATATTTTTTTTTAATTGATTTCAGAGAGGAAGGGAGAGGGGAGATAGACATAGAAACATCAATAATAAGAGAGAACCATGGATTGGCTGCCTTCCTCAGGCCCCCTTCTGGGAATTGAGCTGGCAACCCTAGGCATGTTTCCCTTGGCCGGAATTGAACTCGGACCCTTCAGTCCACAGGCTAACGCTCTATCCACTGAGGCAAATCAGCTAGGGCATCAACCATGACCTTTGAGGGTTAAAGCTCTTGGTAGCATCAGAGTTCAGTCAGGAAGGAGCTCAAAGAGTAATCCACTTCATTCTAAGGGTGCAAAGGGTTTCTCTGGGTAAATTGAGGTTAGCTGAATTATGAAGAGGTAAGTTTTTCTTGAGGGTTGAATGAATAAAACCATTGGGCATTGTCTAAAGGAATGAAGTTTCTACCTTAGACAAGTGAGTTAAGCTTCCTGGATCAATTGTATTGTAAGTGGTTAAAATAAATGCCCTTTGGGGTCAGAACTTTAATTATATATATATATAATTAAAGTGGTTAAAATAAATGCCCTTTGGGGTCAGAACTTTAATTATATATATATTGATTTTTCAGAGAGGAATGGAGAGGGAAAGAGAAACATCAATGATGAGAGAGAGTCTGCCTCCTGCACACCCCACACTGGGGATTGAGCTGGCAACCTGGGCTTGTGCCCTGACCGGGAATCAAAACATGACCTCCTGGTTTGTAGGTTGATGCTCAACCACTGAGCCACCCAGGCTGGGCCTTTGTCAAATGTTATATTTAAATCATTTAAGAAATTACTCTAATTCATACTGCCCTCAAACATTTCATCTCATAAGATGAACACAGATGTTAACATTGATTTTCATGTCTTTTAGGCTATTTAGGATATATTCCTTAGTCATCTTCAAGTAAAATTTTATTTTTCTCATTTTCATTCTTTTCATACATTTTCTCTGTTCTTTACTACTTCCTCAGTCATTGGTCCTTGATATAAAAAGTTTGTGTCTAAAGGATGTGATTAGGGCACATATAAGTTATGGGGTAGGGCAACAGTTCAGAGCAGGGTCTGGAGAAATGGTAAGAGTTTATTTGGGGTTAATTGACCATGATAGACATCATAAATTTAAAGCAGAAACATAACTACATTTGTGGGGATTGAGAAAATAGTGGTTAACTGTATTTTTATTCTTATTCACATAGTTATTTTATTAGGAATTCAAAGCAAATGTTCTTTCCTTAGTCTTCATGATACTCTCTGATTTAGGAAGTGGAAAAATATTAACTCCATTTTATAGAAAAATATCTCCAAAGCTGGGTTCTAGAGAACCAGTGGGTAGTAATATGGGAACTGACCCACTTAATTTGTTTTCATTTGTTCAACAGGCATATTTTTAAAATAACTGGTATGACTTAACACTGTGCCCTGAGTGTATTTTTTAAAGATATTATTTTTCACTTAGAAGATTTACTTTGTATAAAGGAAGTTCTTTCAGCTAAACCCTTTAATTTTGACTAATCATCTGTAAAATAGAGCTAATAATTTTTAGCCATACATAATGGTTTGCATCATTATTACCACACTAAAAACTGGAAATGTATGTGCACCATAACCAATGTATCAGGCAAATATTAAACAAACATTTTCCCCTTGGATTAGGTTAGAAATTTTTCTTCTTTTCCAGATTCTACAAATAGTTATTCCCTGAAGAAAAACATACTATTTCAATAGTCTTTATTAGCATATTATAAGAATTCACTATCTGATAAGTGTAGTCTGACTCATAAAAAACAAGAATTTCTTGATTTATATTATATCTTTTGAGATTATTATTTCTTGCTCTGATTTTCTGTCTGTAAAATAGATATAAGCTATTGCTACTCACATGTCTGTTGTGAGGATTTGTATTAAAACTGTTAAGCTCTTATTATTATTAATAAAAAGCAGTCATATAAAAAAAACTATATGTATTCTACTAGTATAGTTGAATCTAGTAACTTCAATATTCCAACCCATACATTCTAGAACATCTTAGAAGCAGTCATGTACTATTCAACACTCAATAATTAACAATATTCCTGTTTTTACTTTTTACAAATATTCCAGTATTCCTTTTCTACGATAGCTTAATCATTAGTATTTTTCTTTAGATTTTACCAAGAAGGATATTAGTCCTTTTTCATTTGGGGGAATAAACATCAATTTCAGCTTTATTGAAAGTTTTTCCAAACATATTGTTTATACCTAGGAAAAGAAGAAAAGCAATGGTAAAATATTTTCATTTTTTTTATCTAAGTAATCTAAAAGGTAGATGGGGACAAGAAATGGAGTGGTAATTATAACAATAATTCATTATGTTCTATTAAAATGGTATTGGAAAGACTTCATTTAAAACAGAAGGAAACACATATAAATCATGGAAAAAGAAACTGAAAATGTATAATTCCACTAATGTTGATTTGCACAGGCATATATAGTCTTGATGATGTAATTGAAATCATTGATAAGTACCGATTTTTTTGAGTAATTGAAGTTTTCATAATATAATCTGTGACTTGGTATATTTTAAACTAAGGGTAGTTCTGTGGCATTTTATTATATTTAACTTTTCCATGTCTAGAGTGAAATCTGTAAATGAGTATTCTTTGCTGTACTTCTGTGTTTGTATGGCTGGACTTTTTGAAAACAGGTGAGATTACACAGCCCCAAACCTGGATGTCTTAAATACAAGGAATCACACACTATGATTGGTGCCAAGACCTTGAAGAATCCACTGTGCTTGGATGTCTCTGTGCACTTGATTACTTAGTAGAAATTGCCTCAGTGCAGTTGACATTAACTGTCATCAACTCTTCTATTTTGTGCCAAATAAAACCATCAGATATCAACTTAAATACTTTCACAGAAACTTGGATGTCAAACACTTATACAAGAAACAAGGCCCACGGAAGAAATTCTCAAATACAAGTAACACAGCAAGACACAGGAACCTGAAATCAATAATACATTGTATGTTCTGTGAGTTTGCTTCAGAAACATTTTTTTTTTCTTATAATTTTTTTATTGTTTGAAGCATTACAAATAATAGTACATATGTCTCCTTTTTCCCCCCTTAACCATCCCCCTTAACCACCACCTTTTTTTCTCCCATACCCCCCCCCCCCGAATATGCCTTCACCTGCCCCCCCTCCCTGTGTCTTGTATCCATTGGTTATGTTTATATGCATGCATACAAGTCTTTCGGTTGATCTCTTACAGCCCTCCCCCCAACCTCCCTTGCCCTTCCCGCTATAGTTGGACAGTCTGTTCAATGAAGAAAAACAGTGGGTTTGATGTAGTTTATGAAAAATAAATTAATGTGACTTGATCATAAACATCTTTTATTATCTCAACTTATAAAATGTGTTCTTATTTATAATAGTACCTACTAAATACCTTCCTAGTGTCAAGGTAAGTAGTCTATGCCAGGTAACATTTTGGATGTGTGATGCAAAAGTGTATCAGTGAGCCCAGTTCTTAGCAACAACAATCCATCCACCATTTCTGGAAAGAAAGGTAATATCTACACTTTTTCCCAGAAGTATAGATATTACCTTTGCTTTTTTCTTTCTTCCCTATTTGCTCCCTACTGCTTCTCCTCCAGTAACAATCATCTAAAACAGTGGTTCTCAACCAGGACGTATTAGGGTTCTTCAGAAAACCCAACCGGATGCAAGCGAGTGAATGTGTATGTGTGTGAATACCCCATGGTCCAGTCAAGTTGACACATGAGAGATTGATTGATTGATTATAAGGAATTGGATCGCCAAAAAATGAAGGCTAAGAAGTCCTAAGATCTACATTTGGCAGATTGGAAACTCAAGAAAGTTGATGGTGCACTTCCAGTTCAAAGGCCAGCAGCCCCTCAAAGGCAGGGAAAAATCCAATGACCCAGCTTATAGTCAAGCAGAAGCTCCTTTACTCCAGCAGTTTTCAACCTTTCATCTCATAGAATACAAACTAATTACTAAAAATTTTTGGTACACTAAAAAAGTATTTTTTGTCTATCTGACCAAAAAAAAAGTATAA